CGGCGGGAAGATCGAGCAACGAGCTCATGATGAAAGTCCTTGACTTCCATTTTCTGAAATTAATCGCTGTTATTTCTTTGTTTTCAATGAATCGATTTCACTACTGACATATTTTCTATGGGGCGAAAACCCAAATGGAAGATGACTTGGCGCTTCACTGTTGGCATGTGGCCCACGTTGAGTCGCGTTTGGTTCGATTCCATCCCTCTACTCCAAATACCCGAGTTTTTAAGCGTAATTTTGGAAAAACCTGGGTTTCCATGGTAAATTATACCTCCTTTTTTAGTAGAGGGTTGACAACATTGGGGGTAAATGGAAGATGACTTGGCGCTCCACTGTTGGCATGTGGCCCAGTGGAAAATGCCCCTTACACCCAGGCCCAATACCGACTTTTTTTAGGGTATCATGTCGACCCTCTACTAAAAAAGGAGTTGTTTACCATGGACTACCAGGTTTTTCCAAAAATACCCCTAAAAAAGTGGGTATTTGGAGTAGGGGGTAAGGATCCCCGTTTCAGGTCCTCGGTTTCGGTTCTTTGAGATCCGGGGGCTGCAACAGATAGCTTTTAGTAGGGGTTTTAGTAGGGGGTTGTTTTGTTTTTAGTAGGGGTCAGCTTTGCTACGTAGACCAAGGATTGAAAAGCTGGATATTTAATTTGTATTGCAATGGACTTGTACGATTCGCGGACCGATTCCGGGCTTCCGGGCTCGGGTTTGAGGGTGTCCTTTTCAACTTTCGATATGAAAACACCAAAGACAAAGTCCAATTTTCCCAGATACCCTGCAACCAAGAGCATTGGGGAAGACCCGCTGCGGTCTTGTTGTTTTGTTTTACCCGCAAAACCGAACGGTAAATGGATTTATTTTCTCGGGGTCAATGTCGCCGAACTGCGCCTCGCAGGCGAAGAATCAGGCCTTCCCCACCAACTACGGGTACCCGCCCTTTTGGGGCCAGATCAACACCCTCTCGGCGGAGGAACGGCGGAAGGATTTGGTGCGGAAGATGGAATTGGGGCACCATGGTCAGCCTCGGTCTGTGCGGATTCATGATTGTCCCGCCAATGTTTTTCGGTTGGCGGGGTGGCAGGGAAGAGTACGTATCAGGTAACCGAGCTGGTTTTGTGGTGACAATCTCTGATAAATCCTTTGAAATGTTCACGATATTAAACATTTGTAGAAACAATGATGTCTAAATATTCTAGATATTTTGAGAGAAAAACATGGCCTCTATCCCCGAGCGATGTCTAAACAGTTCGAATATTGTTCAAAACAGTTCAAGAGGGATATTGAATGGTGTATATATCCATGATTTTTCTTCAAGTAACATTAAATATCCACTTGCTTACGAACACTGCTTACTTTCCCTTCTTGGTTTTAAGTTAAAGGGAATATATCACTGTTTGTTTTTTTTCAGTAGGATTGAGCAAATGGAAGCATCAATTCGTACTCGTTTTTACCCATGTGCCGCTCCCGGTGTTTCATGCGACCCCGGAACCCATACTAGGTCCCCCAGTAGTGCCCTTTCTTGCCCCTTTGTTGGGGGAGGGTTCCCCTACTAAAACAGACTACAGAAAACAGAGTGCCCTTATTCGAACCTCTCTACTGGAGGACCTAGCATAAAAGGACTTGGGATGTCTTAGGTGCCTGAGTCGTGTTGGCAAGCTCCAGTCTCTTGGCATATGGTCAATACTTGGATTGTATCTGATCTTCGATCCCCATTCCCCGTGAATGTGGGGGTAACAACTTTTTATAAGGTGAAAACCCCCAGTGACTCATCAACTACCTGGAGTCTCCCTAAGGACCCGAATTAAAAATGGGTCCATGACCAACCATGATTTTGGGTAATGTCCAACCATTTTCAAGGGCCAGAAGGAGACTCAACGAACTTGGCGGAACATCACAGTACTCAGTTGTCCAAAGCGAATCGACCTTTTGACCTTTTGGTTTTCCCATTTTGGGTTCCCATTTTTAGTAGAGGTGCCAAACGGTGATCACCTTTTAGTCCTGGGTCCCCAAGGGGCAAGAGGATGTTCCGAAACCGATCGAATTTTCCTTGAAGGGGATCATGTTCACCGACTGATCGCTTGTCCTGGCTGTTTGGATTGAAAGGGACAAACCCACCTGGAGTCTCCAACTAGACCCGAAGGTCAGTACCCAAAATAATGGGTGGTCATGGACCCATTTTTACAGGGTCATGGAGACTCCAGGGGGTTGTTTGTGTGTGTGTTTTTATTTGGGCCGGGAGGGTTCTTAAGAAAGACGCCAAGACAATTCCGTCGTGGGTTCAAATTGAAATCCAATGTCAGCGTCCGTGGCTCCTCCGAAGGCTTGGCGAATAAACATAGCCCACGCTTTGGCCATGTGTGGCCTTTTGGCATTATTTACCCTTAAGATACTGATAAAACCAAATGAATCTTTCAAGCTCAAGAGCTGTGAGGAAGAATTCACTTGCTTCTGCCCTCGGTTCCTCAGAACTTCAGATTGGAACCTCTGGGATGTGGTATGGAAATATGCGAAATCTCTCTGTGTTGAGCTTACGTGGCCAAAAACATCACCACCAGCCCAAACCGCAACCGTCACAACTGTCTGTTTGTTTGTTTGTTGATTTGCTTACTTGTTTGTTTGTTTGTTTGTTTGTTTGTTTGTGTTTTGTTGCTGGGTTATGAAAGGCGATCCGCCTTTCAGGTTCGCTTGCACATGGATTGGTGCCGTTTTTGCCAATGGTTCCCTGACATCGATTGGGCTTCAGCTGAAGAACTTCAGCAAAGTGCCGGATAGATAGCTGGGAGGGTCCTTACAGGAAGGGTTCTATCGTGTCCAATGGTTTTAAACCCTCGTGTTGCGCAATTGAATGCGCCAAGAAGAACCTTCCTCTGCCATGAAGGTGGATGTTCACTTGCCCAGCGGAGATGGTTGCTCCATAGCGGTCTCACAGTGCCCGTCGGCGCGCTGCAGGCTGCAGCGCAGGCCGCCAGCTTGATTTGACGGCCACTCTGAGCGAGACCGGGTTGCAGGATGGGCACGTGGTGGCTGCAGTTGTGCAGCTTGGCAGTCTGACAGCCAGTTGGAAGGCATTTGCTTTGCATGGCCACGGAGATGACGTCGTGACCTGGGGTGATCCTGAGTTTGGCGGAGACAGCAGCCAGGTGCAAGAGCAGCTGAGAAACGTCCAGCACATCCAAGCAACTGACCAGGCTTTTGCTGCCATGCTTGAATCTGGGGCTGTTGTGACCTGGGGTGATCCACAATGCGGCGGAGACAGCAGCCAGGTGCAAGCGCAGCTGAGGAACGTCCAGCACATCCAAGCAACTGACCGGGCTTTTGCTGCCATGCTTGAATCTGGGGCTGTTGTGACCTGGGGTGATCCAAAATGCGGCGGAGACAGCAGCCAGGTGCAAGCGCAGCTGAGGAACGTCCAGCACATCCAAGCAACTGACCAGGCTTTTGCTGCCATTCTTGAATCTGGGGCGGTTGTGACCTGGGGCGATCCACTCACCGGGGGAGACAGCAGCCAAGTGCAAGAGCAGCTGAGGAACGTCAAGCACATCCAAGCAACTTATGCTGCTTTTGCTGCCATTCTTGAATCTGGGTTTGTTGTGACCTGGGGTCATCCAGAATTCGGCGGAGACAGCAGCCAGGTGCAAGAGCAGCTGAGGAACGTCCAGCACATCCAAGCAAATTGGCGTGCTTTTGCTGCCATTCTTAAATCTGGGTTTGTTGTGACCTGGGGTCATCCAGAATTCGGCGGAGACAGCAGCCAGGTGCAAGAGCAGCTGAGGAACGTCCAGCACATCCAAGCAAATTGGCGTGCTTTTGCTGCCATTCTTGAATCTGGGGCTGTTGTGACGTGGGGTCATCCAGAATTCGGCGGAGACAGCAGTCAGGTGCAAGAGCAACTGAGGAACGTCCAGCACATCCAAGCAAATTGGCGTGCTTTTGCTGCCATTCTTGAATCTGGGACTGTTGTGACGTGGGGTCATCCACGACATGGTGGAGACAGCAGCCAGGTGCAAGAGCAGCTGAGGAATGTCCAGCACATCCAAGCAACTCGCAGTGCTTTTGCTGCCATTCTCGAATCTGGGTTTGTTGTGACCTGGGGTCATCCAGAATATGGCGGAGACAGCAGCCAGGTGCAAGAGCAGCTGAGGAACGTCAAGGACATCAAAGCAACTAGGCTTGGTGCCTTTGCTGCCATTGTTCAATCTGGGGCTGTTGTGACCTGGGGTCTTCCATACAATGGCGGAGACAGCAGCCAGGTGCAAGAGCAGCTGAGGAACGTCCAGCACATCCAAGCAACTGACCGGGCTTTTGCTGCCATGCTTGAATCTGGGGCTGTTGTGACCTGGGGTGATCCAAAATGCGGCGGAGACAGCAGCCAGGTGCAAGCGCAGCTGAGAAACGTCCAGCACATCCAAGCAACTGACCAGGCTTTTGCTGCCGTGCTTGAATCTGGGGCTGTTGTGACCTGGGGTGATCCACAATGCGGCGGAGACAGCAGCCAGGTGCAAGAGCAGCTGAGGAACGTCCAGCACATCCAAGCAACTGCCGCTGCTTTCGCTGCCATTCTTGAATCTGGGGCGGTTGCGACCTGGGGCGATCCACTCACCGGGGGAGACAGTAGCCAAGTGCAAGAGCAGCTGAAGAACGTCAAGCACATCCAATCAACTTATGCTGCTTTTGCTGCCATTCTTGAATCTGGGGCTGTTGTGACCTGGGGTAATCCACAATGCGGCGGAGACAGCAGCCAGGTGCAAGAGCAGCTGAGGAACGTCAAGGACATCCAAGCAACTAGCCTTGGTGCCTTTGCTGCTATTCTTCAATCTGGGGCTGTTGTGACCTGGGGTCATCCACAATTTGGCGGAGACACCAGCCAGGTGCAAGAGCAGGTGAACTTGTAATGTTTGTGCGGTTGTAAACATGGGCGGCGCACATAGATGCCAAAAGAAGGCGCGCTGAAAGAAGGTAACGGCAAGTGCACTTTATTGGATTTGGTAACTCTTAATTGGGTCCCCGCCATTCTTTGCACGGGACCAAGGAATTCTAGGATTCGGTAAAGTGTTGCCCAGAGTCTCACTCCCGATACCATTCTTGTTTATTGTATGTTTTTGACTTTTAGGTGTTTTTTTCTTGGAAACTTGATCCTTTTTGCAAAAAGAAAGATACCAACTAAGAAGAGTTGGTACCTAAGGAGTTTAGGGGGTTTACCTGGGGCATAGCGGCATAACCCACTAGGCTTACTCCCTGAGTTCCTGGACTGTAGTCACTTTTGGAGAAGACTTTTTTTGAGTGGCAAATTAACTTCACTGTTGGTGGCAAGTTGCTTGTTTTTGCTTTGCTTGCTGGTTCTCTTCATTTTTTTGTAGGCGCTGCAAACAAAAAGTGTCTTGCTACCATACCTGGAGTCTCCATGACCCTTACAAAATGGGGTCATTACCCAAAATAATGGGGTCATGGACCCATGTTTATTTCGCGTCAGAAGGAGACTCCAGGTACCAAGGGTTATGAAGTAAAAAGTTTGGTTACTTGCCGTGGCAAATCCACTCGATGGGAAGTGAGTAGGTCCCCCTTCCCACTTCTGTGATACAACGGAATCCCGGTTTTGAGGGGGGTTAGTCTTTGGGAGGCCCTTTTTGTTGTATCACAGAAGTGGATTCCATTTCCCACAGCCCTGGTATAGTTCCTAGATGACCTTTGGATGCTCCCAGCCACGTAGCTGTTTAGTCTTTGAGTGTTTAGCGGTGGGATTTCCATTGAACCCACTAAACATGGGTTGGTGTTGGGAAACATGTCTCACATGTTTGCTTATTGTGGCTTAGTGGTTGAACTCCAACTACTTAATCATTTTAACTGCTGCGTTGTTTTTTCTGGCTCCCCTTCGAAGGTCAACCAAGTATCAGTTCGTCACTTTAGGGGCCCAGAAGCCTCGGAAAAAGAGGTTCACGAGTCCGCGCTGGCTCTTGCAGTGGTTTCCGCACAAAACGAAGCTCTTGGTGTGGTGTTTCACTTGCTTTCGGGGAACCCACTTTTGGTGTTCAAAGGAAACCAACATAAAAACAAAAAAAACAAAGAGCACTGTTTTTTTTCCCGGGGGGGGCATAAAAATGTCACACCCAGAGTTGTTTTCCCCCGAAAGATGATCACCTTTCATTTTTTGGGTATGCGGGGCACAGTAAAGGGACCATCTGAACGAGTGTTTCTACACAAAGAGGGCCCGAGGTTTTGTTCTTCAAAGGGAGGTCAACAGGCACGCCCTCAACTAGGTCCCCCAGCTAGGTGCCCATTGTCGCCCCTTTTCTGGTTGGGAGGGTTCCCCTACGAAAATAGACTACAGAAGAAAAAAAAGGTTGGTACCCTTGTTCTAACCTCCAAAACTGGAGGACCTAGTTCAAGGGTTTCTCAGTTTCTCTTTGGGCATCCTTTCGTTGTCCATGGCATTCGGGTTTGTGAGGAGCTGGAAGTCCCGGAGCTGGGAAACATTCTCTTCGCCGTGTGGTTTAGGAAACCAACACGAGCCTCAAAACTTGGCTCCCAGCCATCCGGTTCCTTCGCTTTTTAGACTTTTAGTGTTTAGTGCTTGGGTGTCCATTTCATAAGTCGCCCGGACCCCACTGGCCACGGAATCTCTTGGTAAATGATGACGATGTGTCAAAATTGGGGGGAGGCCTCAAAAAACACACCCCCACACCATGGTTGTTGTTGGGAAACATTTTACATTTTTGCTTATTGTGGTTTAGTGGGAAATCCCCACTTAACTGCTAAACTTTATTTTTTTGCTTTCCTTCCAACGTCAACCAAGACACACCCACAAAGCCACACCAATAGACTTTTAAAAAGCAGGGGATCAGACAACGAATCAGACAGCCCAGGAAAGGCAGACCCAAATGTTCTTGCTCCGGTGCTTGGGTGAACCCATAAGCGAGATGCGCTTTGGCTTCGAATCGTGCGGGTGGCTCGTCTTGTTTGGAGTAGGACACCAACAGGACACCAAATCCATTGTGGCGTCCCGGTCCGATTCTTACTTCGAAGATAGCAACCTGCGCTTGACCATATCCACCTGCTGTGCAGTGTTTCTAAGGGTACCTTCCATTTCCATTCTTTCCAGGCATGCTTCTTTCTACAAAACCACCCAACCCCTGGGGAAACAGCTGGTTTTTTAATGAACGATGGTTGAAAAGCATGGTTGGAATCAACACCTGGAGTGTTCCATTTTCGGGCCTCAAGACTGAAGCATCGGGCCTTTGACAGGGCTCCTGAAAAGATACGGCTTTTGCAACCATTTGAAACATGGCTGGCGTTTTCAGCACCAAGATAAAGAAATTTAATGGAAACCACCATTTACAAGTTGCAATGTTCAGGTGTTTTTCATGCATCCGGATCCCTGTTTGACATGACTGAGCCATTTTTATCGTATCCCCGGCCCCGGAGCCTCTGCCCTTTCTCACCCCTTTTTGGTTGGGAGGGTTCCCCTACTATGATAGACTACAGAAAAAGAACCAAAAAAAAACATCGGATACCCTTATTCTAACCTCTCTACTGGAGGACCTAGTCTCTGGAATCTGCGGTTCGTGAAAAAATATGCAGTTGGCTTAAGCCCCAGCTACAGATCAACTGATCCACTTGCTCAAAACCTGGGTAGATGAAGGTGAGTAAGGGACAATCCCAACCATAAATATCTGCGGATTTCCGCCTTCTTAATTCTTCAAGCATGGTTCTGGGTACCTGGAGTCTCCATGACCCTTTAAAAATGGGTCCATGACCCCATTACTTTGGGTAATGACCCCATTTTTAAAGGGTCATGGAGACTCCAGGTAGACCATTTTGATACCGTTTGATTATGACTCAACTCTCTAAAATGAGGGCCCCACGGCCCGTTGTGGACATCGCCGTAGCAACTGTATGGCGTAAACGTATTAGATTGCATTTGGTTAATAATATTGTTTGTTTTCCCCTGTTGCTTTTAACGAATCTGTCACTACTGGAAATATGTTTTTGTGTTGTTTTTTCTCCAGGGGACGTAAGCAAATGGAGGCTAGGTGGTTCCTCCCGGACCAAAGAGCCCGAAATTCCAACAGCTCCATGGGCCGCTTGGCTTCTTCCAAGGCCGACCGAAACCTGGGGCGGATTTCGCGCGCTAAATTCCCCATTCTTAGGGCAGCTTCTTTCGAGAAAAAAACAAAGAGACACACCCACTTCTGTGAGGACACGTGCTTGGAACCCTCTTAGAAAGAAGGAATCCTTAGAAAGGTTCCCTGAATGTTTTCTGCAGGGGCCAAAGTCCCTCCAAGCAAACATTTCACTTTGTTTGCCAAGCCAGAGTTGCAATATGAGCGATGTACTGTGTTCCCAGCTGCCCTTGGCGCGTTCCAATGCCACCTCAGCCAAAGCCTTGTTGCTGGGAACCTCATCAGGTACTGAGTTGGTTTGTTTGGATTGCCGGTTAGGAGAATTTCAACCCCTTGTCACTTGTTCCTGTAGAGGATACAAGGGAAACTACCCTCAGCCACCAATTTAAACCACCAATTAGTCGGAACCTTAACCTCACCACCAATTCAATCCAACCAGCCAATTAGAGGTCGATGTTTCTTTTTAAGGGCCCAAAAAAAAGAGAGAAGCAAACAACAAAACGCAAGAACGAGATGGCAGTTTTTCCTTTTGGCTTCCCTTTAAAAGGTAGATCAAAGTACTTTCGGCTCATGGTCAGGCGTCCGTTGGCTCACTTTCCGTGGGGAAGAAATCGTGGCATCCGAGCCCTGCTCATGACGGTAACCCTCCAAGCCTATGTCAAGGTGTTTTTTTCAGCTAGGTGCCCTTTTGCCCTTGTTTAAAAAAGGGTTCCCCTACTAAAATAGACTACAGAACTGGAGGACTTCGATTCGTTCCTTCTGGTTTTGGAAGGGTTGCAAGGGCTTGCCTTGGTAGTGCTTGGTAGGTATACCTTTACCGGGTAAATGGATCCACCGGTGAGGTAGACAATGGTGAAGAATTTTCACCCGCCCATGGCTTCTCTATGGCGATCTCGTGTTTTTCAAGCCCCTACAAAACCGATTGGTACACGGATTCCACTGGGGTGAGCCCAAAGGTTTCAGTTGTTTTTGGGTCGATCCGCTCGATCGGAAGAGAGTGGTTGGGACTCCGATTGTTGTTTTATTTTCGGCGAGGAGAAGAAGAAGAAGCTTCTGGCCGAGATCAACAACGGACGCCTGGCAACTTGGCAAGTAGTCGGCGCTGGATCTCTTTCTCTTCTCCTTCTTGTTTCCTGTTTTTCTTCTTTGTCTTTTTCTTCTTTATTTTTTTATTATTGTTTGTTGTTCTTGGGTTTACTCTTCTTGTGCGTCTTCTTTTGTTTCTTCTTCCTAGGCCCTTTTCAGGAAGGGCCTTCATTGCCAGACTTAACTATAATGCCCACCCCCAAGAGCAAGTACATCCTTCACGATCCTGCGCGGCCTAAATGACCACATGTCGTGCTGTTCCCAACACTCCTGGTTGCTAAAGGACTAGGCCCCCCAGCGAAAGGGAAAGGCCCTCTCTCACCAACTTTTTTGGTTGTGAGGGTTCCCCTACATAAAAAAAAAGTTGGTACCAACTTATTCTAAGCTCCAAAACTGGAGGGAAAAGGAACCGGGTTTGTCTCGAAGGTCGGCGAAGCCCCAGAGTTTTCGAGCACCTGCCATTTCCACGCGCGGAAAACCCGGAAAAAATCCGACTCTTTCTAGAACACCTCCGGAAACCCCGGGGAAACGGACCCGGCGTCCCAAAAAACAGCCACGAGGGCTGGAAAGAATGGACAAGGAATCAACCCTTAGAATGGCTGAAAGAATGGACAAGGAGTCAACCCCTAGACTGTCGTCCTTTTTGTTGGGCAGTTTTTTTTTCTTCTTGAAAGTCGGAATCAACCCCTAGACTGTTGTCCTTTTGGTTGGGAAGGGTCCCCCTTGAAAGTCAACCAACACCACCTGGACCCTCCATTACATAAACTTGTCACGAATGGCTGGCTTCCCTTGGTGCGTGCCCTCCAAAAAAACGAGCGCAGCATGGCTTATGTGAATCCTGTCCAAAGTGAGGCCTCCCAAGCGGGCGGATGGTGGTTTGTCCTGTCTACCTCTTAGGAAAGACATCTAGCGAGGAAAATGTGTCAAGTTTTCACCTGCCGAACTTTGATCTTGATAAACATGTTAATGTGTCTCACATGTTGAACCCCCCCCCCCCAACAGCAAAAAAAACGAAACAAAGAGCAACCAAAACGTGGCGGTGCGCCCTAAAGGGGTCATGGACCCATTTTTAAAGGGTCATGGAGACTCCAGGTACCTCCGATTTTGGTCCCTGTTTCGTGTCCCGAAACCGTCAATCTTCAGGGCCTTGGGCAAGTGAGTCATTCTGCCTGGAGCCTCAAACCATTGTCGTTCGGAAACATGTCTCACATTTTTGCTTTCCTTCCAACGTCAACCAAGCTCAAACTATCAATTCAAAGAAGAGAAGTCACCACTTCCAGCATTTTGGGTTGCTCTCTACTTCCCGTGTTTGAAGTAAGTCGGATTTTTGTTTGTTCAGGTGGATTCACTGTTGAGTCTATAAAGTCATGGCAGTCAAAAAGGCGAAGCCCTGTCTGCATTCACGCGTACTTTGTTTGCTCCTTTGGTTTTGGTTTCGTTTCGGTCGTGGACCTCATGTAGGTTCCCCAGTAGTGCCCTTGTGGCTTTTTTTGGGGGAGTGTTCCCCTACTAAAATAGACTACAGAAAAAAGTTGGTACCCTTATTCTAACCTCCAAAACTGGAGGACCTAGGAAAAGTATCCCCGGCGCGACTTACGGCATCAGCAAAACCCGTGACCCCGTCTCAGCGGATAACTCTGATGACCTCTAGCGTCCGATGGCCTCTAGCGTCTGAACCTCCCAAGCAGAACCGAGGGTTCCTTGCAAACATCCGTGTTGAGAGGGTTCCCTCCTCTTTTTTTTGCGAAGACTTCCTTGCAAAAGTTGGATTTCAAGACGATGTTCCATACTTAAAGAGGCGAGGTAGCAAGCCTGGCTATAACCCACTCTACGCAGACTTATAACCATGGCTTTTGTGGGTTATCTCACCCTGGTTTTGACCTGCCTGATGTACCTGCTGCCCCTTTACCCAGTTGCAACCAGTGGATTCCGCTCTGTTTTCTACTTTTTAAAAGGGAGGCTTCCCCTTTTTCCACTCAACCCCTGTAAGTATTCCCATAGCCATGGGCTGTGATCCTTTCGTCACAGCCTGGTGACTCTCAGGTTTTTCTCAAAAAGACCCACTACCTGGAGTCTCCATGACCCTTTAAAAATGGGTCCATGACCCCATTATTTTGGGTAATGACCCCATTTTTAAAGGGTCATGGAGACTTTAGGTAAAGAAAGGCCGGGTATGTGGAGGTTACGGGGGTATTGGGAGGCAACAGGAACCCCCGCTCCCCCTCGACCCCACCCAAAAACGAGAGAATCCGCCAGGCGATGATGGCCATGGCAGCCATCGTGGCGCAGAACGGCGCCACGGGCCAGTCCTTGGTGGAGCAGTTCACCACAGGCGTAGCCCCGAATCGGCCACGGTGTTTCGTCGCATGCCCGGATCGGTTGTTAAGTGGATCCTTGGGCCCCCTATCATTTGTTTTTACATAATTGCTTCTTGTGGTTTAGAGGTTGAAATCCAAATCCACTGAACTGTTTTAGTATTATCATTATTATTATCATTATTGCTATTATTATTACTATTATTATTATTATTGCTATGATTATTACTATTATTATTATTATTGCTATTATTATTATTGTTTAATCATTATTATTATTGCTACTATTATTATTATTAGTAGTATTATTATTATTATTATTATTATTATTATTATTATTGTTATTGCTATCATTATGATGTTTTAATTATTATTATTAATTCTATTATTATTATTGTTATTATTATTATTATTGCTATTATTATTATTATTATTATTATTATTATTATTATTATTATTATTATTATTATTATTATTATTATTATTATTATTATTATTGTTATTGTTATTATTATTATTATTGCTATTATTATTATTATTATTATTATTATTTTTGTTGTTGTTGTTGTTTTCCTTCCAACGTCAACCAAGATATGGATGGTATAAGCATATCACATTTTGCGGGGCTTTTGAAAGGGCCGCGAGGCGTTTTTTTTTTTTTGGCGAGGAGTTGTTGCGTCCAAGCAACTTGGGGCTTTTTGAAGGGCTCAATAGGGAAAGCTGGTCTACAATGAGTGTTGGACCTATGATGGCTTTTTTGTTTTGCCAGTCGACTCACTCGCCAAGTCCCTGGACTAATAATGTCACTCGTTGGGTCTGGACGATTGTGTCGTGGTGCGTGAAAAAAATGTTTGGGTACAATTTTTGGCCACTCCACTCGGTCGGGCGTGAGCTGATGTTCCCGGCCCTTTCCATGTTTAGCCGTGTTTTTGTTGTTCTGCCTGAACCCTCAAACTACCTGGAGTGTCCCTAAGGACCCTTAAAAATGGTTGGTCATTACCCAAAATGATGGCCAGGTACCAACTTAAAAACGGGAATTCACCCATTCAGTTGGAATGTTGAGGGAGGTGCCTGCTTTCGAAAGCCGTGGCTTCTCGGCTTCTCAGATCACTTCTCTGTTGACCCCATATGAATTTCGACCAACCAGTTTAGTTTCATAGCTGCTCTTCCAGCTGGGTGAAATGTGGTTGCAATCAGAGTTCACTCTTTTGGAGGGGCCACACACCACCCCCTATGAAACTAAACTGGTTGCTTGATTAGCATTAGAGAGGTCCCAGGAACTCTAAAAGTTTGGCCAACTATGGATATGGCTGTGTGAGTGTTTTTTTGAGGGTACCCTGTTTTGCTTGGTTTAGAGGGAAGCCAAGAAAGGACAACTGCAATTTTCGAGGTTCCCCTATTTCAATACGAAGCCATATTATGGCGTTGCGCCTTGCATTTGTGTTGGTGTCCTTTCCCTGATGTTTGGCAAAATAACACGCAACGCAATCTACTAGAGCATTCGACGTGAATGAGTTGTCAACATCAAACGGTATACGGAGCTCCTTAAAATATACATTTTGCCCATTTGAAACATGTTGCTTTTTCAACACCAAGATCAAGTTGGAAACCACCATTTACAAGTTGCGATGTTCGATCGGTGTTTTTCATGCATCCGGATCCCTTGTATATTGATTGTGCTTCTTCCGCAGATTCATCCTCAGAATTCGCTCCCGTACGAATCCCCTAAGAAACAAAAAGGCGACCCCTTTTCACGGTCTTATGGGAACCATAACATATTTCCCCTTGGCCATTTTTTTTTTGGAGTATCCATGGGCCGTAAAACAAACATGGGCTCACCTTTTAAAACATAAGGGTCATGCCCCATCTTTTTCAGGGTCCTTAAGGAACTCCGGGCGAATCGGGTTACCTCAATGGACCTTCCATTTGGTTAAGAATATTGTTTTATTTTCCCCTGTTGGTTTTAAATGGAATCTATCGCTACTGGACATACCTGGAGTCTCCATGACCCTTTAAAAACGGGTCCATGACCCCATTATTTTGGGTAATGACCCCCTTTTTAAAGGGTCATGGAGACTCCAGGTATATATATATATTTTTCCAGGGGGCGAAAACGCAAATGGAGGGGGACTCATCCATCTCCAGGCAACCTGAACCCCTTCGTGGGCGGTTACGCCCAGCAGGCCGCACAGAGAGAGAGAGACTCTGCCGGTCGGCCAGTCGGGTGTCTCGATCCGGGATCTCAGATGCTATCCCTAAGGAGCCCCTTTGGTCCTCATTACTTTGGTGCATGTTGCTTGGATGTTAGGACTTTAACTTTTTGCCAACCAATGGGTTTTCCATTAAAATACAAAACGTTATTCACTTTTAGCAGGGGAGCAGAACGCAACCAAGATTATTTGAGGGTCTGGAAAGTTCAAGGCAACCACATGTTTTGGGTCTCAGAGGCTCGAGCCTAGAGCATGTTAGAATTAAAAACTCTCTTGTCCAATGCGCATCGACCTGAAATGACCTGTTGGCTTTTCCTTTTTGGAACCCATGTTTCGTCATGGCCCGAAAGGTTGAGTGGACTTTTAAGCTTGACGAAATATGGGACAACCTCCAAAACGACATTTCGCGTGTACGGAGCCAAGAACATCCCAAGTGGGCTGAAACAAAAAACACCCCGCGCCTTTTGGAAAAGGTGAGGGGCCGTCCCTTAACTTGTTTCAAAGGCCAAAACCATTGGAAACCGATACAGAGGGAATAAACAAACGATACCCCTAGAAGCCATGAAGACACACATCAGGTCCAGGTTGTTGTCGCAAACCAAGATTGCGGAATGATAAATTTGCAGGGCCAAAACCGATACCCAAACCGATACCCAACCGATACCCAACTCATTAGCCGCCATCAGCTGCCCTGCAGCCTTCCCTGGAGCTGCCAAGATGTACTTTGTGTAGTACATTACTGAAAAGTTGCGACTTCCGCGCTGGAGCTGCCAAAATGTACATCGTATACTACGCTATGCTACACTTACTTGCACTGAAAAGCTGCGACTTTCGAGCAGAAGCTGCCAAAGTGTACTGCGCATTCTACTGAAAAGTTGCGACTTTCCAGCTGGAGCTGCCAAAATGTACTTTGTGTGCTACACTTGTACTGAAAAGTTGCGACTTTCCAGCTGGAGCTGCCAACTTTCCAGCTGGAGCTGCCAAAATGTACTCTCTGTGTGTACTACACTTGTACTGAAAAGTTGCGACTTTCGAGCCGGAGCTGGCAGTGTACTTCGCATACTACACTTGTACGGAAAAGTCGCGTTCTTCGAGCTAGAGCTGCCAGAACACTGCAAACCGATGCAGAGGAAGGGCATAAGGATACAAGGGTTGTCCGCGGGATTTTTTCAACCCAAGTGAGTTTCCCTTGCCCATGAATTGTTTCGCCTTCTCACCTTCGGCCGGTTTCAGAGGAACAAAAAAGAACTTGAGAGATGCTACGTGAGGTAGGTGAGTTGCCTCGTGACGCAGCGGCTGTAGTAGGCTAACCATCCATGATCCATGGTAACACCTAGACGTGCAAAAAGCCTGGTTACCTACTATCGTGGTAGCTGGAAGCACTGGGATGGTTGCCTTACCATGTTGTTTCATCCCACCAAGTGGCTTTTGTCCAGGGTTACTCATCCTGACGTGCCTCCTTTCACAGGACGTTCGGGCAGGTGATAAAACGAGATCGTCCTGGGCTTTTCTTTGACTCAGATCTCCAGTTTTCTCCTTTAGGAGGGATTCCGTTGACACACAGCTATCAAACTGGAGCTCTGGGTGTTTAGTATTGGAACCTCTTTATGGGCGGGGCCCCTTCTCGAACACAAGCCAAAGAAACAGGCGCCCTCAGGACACGCCCACGTGGAGAATGTCGACCTTCCGAATGGGTATGTGTTAAGAAGGGATGTCCCCATCATGTTGGGTGATGACCCACCATTTTTAGAGGGTCCGATTCGGGAGACTCCAGGTTGACCAAAGTGAAGGCGTTTCAGAAAAGACTTCTCTCAATCTTGGGGCCCGAAGGCTTTCAATCAAGCATACAAAGTGCTCCGGGGCTGGGGGAAGCAATTGCATGAAGCAGCCTTCGCTGTTGTTGGATCAAGTTTTTCAGTTTGTTTGTTCTTTTTGTTCATTTTTAGTGGGGGGCTATTCGGTTGTTTGCTGCCATACTTCTTGGGTTGCAAAAATTGGTGAATTCTTGCCCAGGTGCGGCAGCCTTCAACAGCCCTTGGTTGTTGTTTCTCAAAATGGAATCAACCCCGAACAGACCGGGTTGCCTTTCATCTTATCAATTTGGGGGTGCCTTTCTGTTGGAGAACCCCTTTTTGGTCGGCTTCAAAAGAAAACCAAAGGGCAACCGACCAGTTTCGGCCATTTGGGTTTTAGCGGAAAATAAAATACGTCGTCGTGGTCCACTTTGGCATCATTGTCTCCAACCATGTCCAATACGGGGGGTTGGTAATGTTCCCATGGTGACAACTTACCTGGACCCCCAAACCCCCCCTTTTTTTTCCGGCTTCGTACCGTTTTTTTTTCTGGGTCAAGGGCAATAAAAAAGGGTCTTTTGGGGGTCCGGGTTGCTTTTAATCATACTCCACCCCTCTGCTAATTTTTAGCCTTTGTATTAGACCCAGTGGATCCAGTTACCTGATTTTGTAGGTAACCAAGAAACCACCCTTTGAGAACCAACAGGACAAAAGCGATGGGTTCCTACTATATCCCAGAGGGTCCCTTGGGAACTCATATTTGAGGAATTGCAGAATCTGTAATTGACGAATCCCCTATTCACCAAACCCAAGGCCGGAACTATGGGGTACAACCGGACCCTCTGGGTATGGGCCCTTTTACCCTTTTTTGGAAAAAAAAGTTGGTACCCTCATTCTAACCTCCAAAACTGGAAGACTTAGCTATTACATGGGCGAAACGCCTGGGATCCACTCGGCCTTGAGATTCTGCTCGCCAGGAGAGCCGAAACAAGGTTGCACTGTCGGGGGCCTCGAGTCGAAGCCCGGGAGATATTGACGTAGTGGGGGTTGATCAAAAGGTCCGATGCACCTGAGATGACCATTGGTTGGAAAGCCACTCAAAAGACGAACGGTCCCACTAAACTGGAAAAGTTACCCATGGTCATTTGGGGTCAGGAATTCCCCATATATGGAACATATATGGAACATAATCAGAACAGTGCAGGTTTACAGTACCCCTTGATGTCTGCCAACCTATATCTTTGCCCTTTCCTAAAATGATGACGCTGGTAAAGATTAGTCTCCTGGACTGCAGGTTGACCAAGCGAATGAAGCCATTTGTTTTGGGGTAGGTGGAGCTTACCTTCTTAAATGGAACTCATTTTGTTCAACAGGGGGGCTTTAAATCCGGCGTTCCCAGTATGTGTTGTGACCCAGGACATGGGGGGAGTTGTGGGAAAATGGAGTAAGTACCCGGTCGGCCAAAGGCTTCCAACCACAATTTCCCTGGCTGAAGCCGAGGCAAATGTGGGCCGCAACCTCCCTTGCACCGACTCGCAGCGAACCACACCTGCATGAGGTTCAGTGAAAATAACCAGATCGCCTGCATTTGCTGAAGTACTTCCAGTAGTGATAGATTCCCTGGAAAACCAACCGGGGGAAATAACTAAACATTCATTTCAGCAAATGGAAGATGGTCAATTTCAGATGAACAAGAAGAGGGGCTGGGAGCAGCAGAAGGTACCCGGACCCAGCAGAAGACCACGACGCGGCGCTGTTTTCGGCCAGTTTTCGCGCCACACCAAGTCATCACGCAAGGAACATGAAATGTCCGGTTTTCAGCCTCTGAGCATGGTTGTTGTTGTTGGGAAACGCTCTTTACATTGTTGCTTATTGTGGTTTAGTGGTGGAAATCCAACCACTTAAGTGCTAAAATTGTTCAGTTGCTCCCTTTCAACGTCGACAAAGTAAACGGGTGTGGCTTCTTTTGGTGGTTTGAAAGGGAAACACCCGTTTTTTTGTGTTTTTTGCTTTTGTTTTTTTGCGGGGGGTCCCCAAAAAGACCCCAAATGTTCGGTCTTCCAAAAGTGGTTTCCACTTTGGGGAAATGTCAGTTGGGGTTGCATCAACCTATCCAGTGTTAACTTGCGCGAGGTCCCGGGGAATAGTTTGCAGAAGCGTTCCAAGGGTTTCAGAAAAAATAGCGCACACCACCACTCTTCCAGTGCCTCAAGCAGCTCAGATTACGTTTTTCAAAACACGGGCCTGAGCGTGAAGATTATCCAAACTCAAGCCGACTTTGGAGAAAACAGCCCTGACTGAGTTTGGAGCAAGCTCGGGCCGAGTTTGGAGAAACGAACTGAGTTTGGAGAATCTCCAAACGCAGGCCCCAGTTTGCAGAAAATGGGCCTGAGTTTGAAGAAGACTTGTCAGTCCTGGCTAGTCCAAACTCTTTGTACGAAGCCAAGAAGCTCTCCGAGTTTGGAAAATGGAGGAACAGGGCCCGAGGTTGGAGAACTTCTAAACTGATCCTGAGTTTGCAGAAAACAAGCCTGACTTTGAAGAATCCGCAAACTCAGCCCGAGTTTTGAGAAAACAGGCCCGAGTTCGGAGAATCTCCAAACTCACCCCGATTTTGGAGAAAACGGGCCTAAGTTTGGAGAATCTCCAAACTCACCCCGATTTTGGAGAAAACGGGCCCGAGTTCGGAGAATCTCCAAACTCACCCCTAGTTTGGAGAAAACGGGCCCGAGTTCGGAGAATCTCCAAACTCAGAGTTTGGACTCAGAGTTTGGAGAAAACGGGCCTAAGTTTGGAGAATCTCCAAACTCACCCCGAGTTTGGAGAAAACGGGCCCGAGTTCGGAGAATCTCCAAACTCACCCCGAGTTTGGAGAAAACGGGCCCAAGTTCGGAGAATCTCCAAACTCAGGCCCGTTTTCTCCAAACTCATTTTGTGAAACACGCGAAGAAGCGTTCGGCAAGTGTTTTGGTGGAGAAAATAAGCGTTCGGATGGAGATTGTCATGCAAAATAAGCGTTCTGCAGGAGAAAAACACATTGAAATTTGGAGTTTAGAGAATTTCCAAACTCAGCCCGAGTTTGGAGAAAACGGGCCTGAGTTTGGAGAATCTCCAAACTCGAGCCCTTTTTCTCCTTACTCGGGCCCGAGTTTGCCAAAATTCGATACTCAGTTCGAGTTTGGAGAATCTCAAACCTCAGGTCCGTTTTCTCCAACCTCGGGCGGCGCGCTTGGAGATTCTCGAAACTCGGGCCTGAGTTGTTGAAGAACACATGCCTCAGTTTAGAGAATCTGCAAAGTCATCCACGGTTTGGAGAAACCGGGCTGAGTTAGAGAAAACAAGGCTGAACTTGGAGAAAAGGAGCCTGACTTTAAAGAGTGAACGCAGGCCCCAATGGGCCTGAGTTGGGGGAAAACGGGCCTGGGTTTGGCAACTCGGACCCGAATTTGGAAATCTTCAAACTCGAGCCTGAGTTTCCCCAAACTCAGGTTGAGTTGGGAGAAATTGGCTAGAGGCTAGAGTTTGGAGATTATGAGCCTGAGTTTGGAGTATCTCCAAACCCTCACTGAGTTTGGAGACAACGGGCCATAGTTCGGAGATTCTCCAAGTCCAATCGCAACAGCCCGAGTTTGGAGAAACTGTCGAGGTTTGAAATTGGTTGGAGCTTAGCGGACTCAGTTCGAAGAAAAAAAACCCGAGGAGTCGTGAGTCTTGACATGTTTGCTGCTGCCTCCTATCACCCATCTCGGTGATGAGATTGGAGACTGGGACTGTTTGCACCAAACGCGGCACACTCATGCCCCCCCTATTCTCAGAACTCTTCCAATTTACGGGGTCTCAACAAATGAACCGAGTTTCTTCATATGGCGCCACGGGTGCGCAGAAACTGACGTTAGCCCAACTTTGTTCAATTTCAACCCTGGGTTTGGAAAGTCGAGCTCGGTTCCCGACCTTGTTGCAAGGCCTTGTCACAGCAAGATGCGTTCCTGGCTTCCAACAACGGTTGAACGAAACGTGCTTGATCAAACTGGGGCATGAACACGACAGCTCACTTGGGGGCTGCTATTGCCCCAAGTGAGCCGCCGTTTTCATGCCCCAGTTTGATCGAGAGCGCTTCGTTCCTGCAACTTGCACTCACAGCCGTTTTGGGAAGCGTGGAACGCTTCTTGCTGTGGATTGCAAAAAAGGCCTGAGCTCGTGCAAGTTAACACTATCCAGTCTACGGTCCCTTTAGGGCGGGACGCGAGTCTCTACATTTCTCTAAAGGCCAGTAGGTTTTAGCGCGCGCTCTTTGCTGCTTATGTCCAGCAGAGCCCTATGTTTCACATGTTGGCTTCAAACATCTTTTTGTTTTTGTTTTGGAGTTACTGGTGAGTTTTCGCAACGGAAGCGGGGTGATTTCGTGTGTGCATAACTAGGGTAGCGATGTGTCTGAAAAAATAATGCCTGGGGGATGCCAGAAATCATTCTTCGAGGGTCTTGGGGGTTCAAGGCAACCACATTTTTTTTCCGGATTTGGTTGGGGGCAATGCTTGGGAATGCTTGGGTTTCCTTGCTTCCCTTGAAAGCCCAGACAAAACGTTTGGGGCACCCAACAGGCATACTGTGGATGGACAGAATCCGTTCGCACCACTTCGAAAAACCATGTTTGAAACCAGTTTTATTTATTTGTTTATTGGCATTTACAGCAAAATCAACTCATCCCAGGTTTTCTGAACGGTGCGATTTCTGGAGTTCGCCACCCTCCACAGGAACCCGAGCCCCCAGGCGCTTCGCCGCCAATTCGAAAGCTCCAGGCGCGCCAACTCGGAGGCTCTGCCTTGGGCCCCGGTGCCGGAGGCGCGGAGCTCTCAGAGGGATCTCCGGGTCGCTGGGAGGATCCCAGTGGTTCTGGTTCTGGTGGAGACCCGGTGTGCCATGGGACCGGTGCCGCTTTCTTTCCATTGGCTGAAAGTTTTTTCTTTGTTTTTTTTGTTTAAAAATTCCCCGGTTGGCCTTTGAAGGGAATGGATTTCACTACTGGAAGTATGTTTCTCATTTTTTCCAGGGGTCTTAACCAAATGGAAGTTTGCTTCACTGTTGGTAAGAATTCTTCTGGGTGAATTAGAACGACCTCACACGACCGAATTCACCCCAAATGGTGGTTTATGTGAGGAATAGCCCCCAAACCACCGCAAGTTTCAGGCTGGTGAAATATTATCATTCACCCAGATTGGTTGGCTCCAAAGGAACCCGCTGGCCCTTTTTTGTCATTGCGGCTTGCCAAGTGCACTGAGGGCGCGGCGTTTTGAGAGGGTGAAAAGCAAGTCCCGCTGTCCCCTCTCAAATGGAACCCTTGTCTCAGTTGTTCAGTGGCACCAATTATAGTTCTCCTTTTTTTCGGGTGGCTAAATCACTAAAAATGGTCTTCCCCAAAAAGGGTTCCCTTTTTTCCAGGGTCACTGAACAGCTGCGTTGTTGTTTTAACAGGGGATGGTCATTTGGGGTCAGGAATATATTCATCAACCCCCATATATGGAACATAGTCGGAACAATTTAGGTTTACAGAACCCCCTTGATGTGGGCCAACTAATATCTTTGCCCTTTTCCAAAATGATGACGTTGGTAAAGATTACTCTCCTTGGTTGAAAGGTTGACCAAGCGAATGAACCTGGCAGATTTGTTTTGGGGGAGGTGGAGCTTACCCTCTCAAATGGAACCCACGTTGTTCAACAAGGGGGCTATAAATCCGGCGTTCCCAGTATGTGGGGTGACCCAGGACATGGGGGGAAATTAGGCTCTGTCCCCTAGTTCTTCGGAAAAAAAATGGAGTAAGTCCCCCTTCTTGTCCCTCTCAAATGAACAATCTTCACTTTGCTGAAATGAAGATTTGGTTTTCAAATTTCATTACTGGACATATTCTCTTTTTTTCCAGGGTACTTAGGCAAATGGAGGAACCGCAAACAGGCTTGCCCCCCCAAGACAAACAACACAGTACACATGGGTGTGTCTTTTTTAAAGGTGCCCGTTGTTTGGCAGAACACAACGAGGGGGAAGGGGTCCGTCTTCCTAGCAAAAGGCACAGACAAACATACGAGCCACCAGTTTGGCTCATCTTTTGAAGTTGACTTGGTACCCCTTTTTTGGGTGGTCACCTACTTTATGGGTAACTGGGATCCACTGAGGATGATTCACTAACATAGCTTTTGCGCGAGGGTACCTGGATCAGTTCCTCTGCAGGGATCCTCTGTCAGGTGCCATGCGTGGAAGGGTTTGTGCCTGGTTTCCTCCATGATTCTTCCAGCTTGCATAATGATTTAATAGTACCCCACAACCGAATTGTTTAGGCCCGCAAGTAGTGAAGGCGGGAGTCATTTGAAGATCCCCTTGACAAATGGTTGCCTTGCCGCCTTAGTAATTGTTTACGTGGTTCTGGGTACCGCCATTCTAGTACCAGGTTTTGATCATAACCCAAGTGGTTGTGTCTTTTTTTGCGGCTACCCATGGTTCGGTGGGTTTAAAGGAAATACAAGGGACACCACCCATTGTTTTGGGCGGTCCCCTAAAACAAGTGAAAAGCGATTCCTTGAGGTACGAATCCATCCTTGCCGAGCTTCTTGGGTCTAACATGTTTGAACAGTTGACTCCACCGCTGTCGGCATTTGTTGTTGGTTCTGTTCATGGTTAGTAGGGGCTGCAAAAAGCAAAGGTTTGTTGCTACCATACCAGGAGTTAATTATGACGTTGATTTGTTGCAAACCTGTTTGTGGAACGTGAGAGCCAACAGATGATGTTCTTTCTGCTGACCAGCCTAGGGTGGTGGTGTTTATATATGTAGCCACTCTAGACCATCTGCGTATACCCGAACAGGTGTGTGTGTGTGTGTCTTTACCGGATACCCTTTCCAGGTTGGTTTAGAAGGAAGACCCAAATCCTGTTTTTTTGGTCCCCCTATTTTCGAAAAAATCGAACTTACCCTAAATGGACATACCACACCTATGGGCTGGGGATGGTTTTTGGGGGCCCGAGATGCTGTCGCGCGCACCCCCCCGCACGCGCGTGAGAACCTGACCAACAACATCGTGGGGCCCTACGTGGGCGACGCTGGCTTCGACCCTGCGGGCTTCGCAGGGACTCCCAAGATTTGGGTCTCAAACTGGGATGTGACGGCGGCTCGTTTTTTTCTTCTTCTTTTCTTCTTTTTTTTTGTTTTAACATATTTATTTTTATCGGGACCCCTCAAAAATGGCTGGTGTTTCAAGGTGTCCGAGCCATTTCCCTTTTGATTCGGGCATCCGGTCCAGTGACTCAAAGGTTTTTCTTTTGCGGTTGTAAACTGAGCAAAGGGATAGCCTCCTCCCTCCATCCGTTCACAAACCCTTTGTTCGAGATTTTTAGCGGCTTCGTGGGCACTTCCTGCCGATTCTTTTTGTCCCATGGAAATCTGGGCATCTGAGGGGACACACCGGAAACCTCCCAGTCCCTTTCGGGGCCACGGAATCCCTGCCGAGGCCAAGAACAAGCGCCTACTGCCCTGGCGCCCTTGCCACTCGTTCGTGGCATCTCGGGGTCGAGCGTCCAGAGACTCACTCCCTGAGTTCCTGGACTTCGGTCAGTTTTCGGGAAAGGACATTTTGCTTAGTGGCTCAACCAGCCATTTGGTTCCTTAGCTTTTTATATCTTTTTAATTGATTTAGTGGTCGGGTTTCCGAGTTTGATCCACTCAAAGTCAAGCTTTTAGCGGGGGATCTGAGGACAGCCCAGCCAGTTTAATGATAAACACAAAATTCCTGGGATTTCCTCTGGCCGCCTTTTCTTTTTTTTCTCCGAACATTATTGAAGCATTCCGTTCCGGTCGGATCGACCACTTAAAGTTCATGTCGGTTAACGGTTCAGTGTAGCCGGTGGTTCCTTCGGCACCCGAGACTTATCCACCCGGAGCTAATGTCTAAGGGTCTCCGAAGTACATGCCGGTTTCTTGGCTTCCGTGGAAACCCCAACTTTAATTTGGGGACCGGTAGAAAAAAAAAAAAAAAAACCTTTTGGGGCCCAAGTCATCACTCTGGGTAACATGAAAAATTTCCGGTTTTCAGGCTCTAAACATGGTTGTTGTTGGGAAACACGTCTTCCATTTTTGATCGTATTGTGGTTGAGGTGTTGAAATCCCCACACCACTGAACTGCTCTAACATTTATCAATTGTTGCTTTCCTTCCAACGTCAACCAAGAAATACCCTCCTCTTTTGGGGCAGAGGGGTATGAACATCAGGCCTCTCAGGGGTTCATTTGTCCAGGGGTATGTAAAAGGGTACCTGGAGTCTCCTTCTGACCCTTTAAAAAGGGGGTCATTACCCAAAATAATGGTTGGTCATGGACCCGTTTTTATTTCGGTCCTTAGGGAGAGTCCAGGTATGTACCTTGGCACTTTTGGACTATGGGAAGAAGATGTGGGGTACTCGGGGTTGCCGCCATGAGAACCACGGTTGGGTTGATAGAACCAGTAGGTCCCCCAGCTAGGCGCCCGACCTCTCGCCCCCTTTTTAGGGTTCCCCTACTAAAATAGACTACAGAAATGGTACCAACTGATTCTAACCTCTCTACTGGAGGACCTAGCTAAGGATGTTCATCCAAGTTTCTAGGGGTTGATTCCACATATTCTTTTCAACCCATCGTTCTTTCCAAAAACCGGATCCGGTTTCCCTCGGTTTCCGGAGGTTTTCTAGAAAAAAGGGATAGAATGGGGAAAGGTACCAGTAGAAGGTTGGGTCCTTGCCCTGCTTTCGGGGGTTGAAATTGAGGGTACTGGAGTAAGAGGCCTTGCGGTGTACCACTTACGGAGATATAGGGAGAGTATATGCCCCAAGTGGTATGCACTCTTCACCAGGGGAAGTTTTGATTTCTGGCGAAACAAGAAGCCTAAAGGGAGTCGCGCATGACGTACACTTGGGGTCGATGTAGCAACCTTGTGTAGGCTGTTGTTTTTTAGGTCTGGTGCACAACAATTTCTAAGTCTTTGGTTGCTGGGGTTTGCCCAATGTTCTTTTGTTCTCCTCAACAAGGACTTAAAGGGTGAATAAGGGAGTTACCCCCCCCTCCATAGGCCTTAAGAATTGTTTGGTCATCTAGGTCCCCCAGTAGTGCCCTTCTACCCTTCTTTGGGGGGAGGATTCCACTACTAAAATAGACTACAGAAAAAAGGGTACCCTTATTCTAGCCTCGCTTCTGGAGGACCTAGCCTTAAGAATTGTTTCGTCATTTACCTAAAAACAGAATTGGGCCAATGGCAACCCATTTTTGAAGGGTCCTTACGTGGATGTTCGGCCGAGTCGGTAAGTGGGGATCGCCATTTGGGCTTGTTCACCCCCTTATCAGAACCCACATTCCCGGGAAACTTCTAAGTGCGTAACCTAGGATACCACTACAAAACCCCACTTACAGACTTAGGCGGACTTCTAAGTGGGTAACCTAGGATACAGTTACAAAACCCCACTTAGAGACGGCGAACTTCCAAGTCAGTGGGTAACCTGGGATACCAACGACTTACTAACCTTCCATGTTCTTAGATTTGTTTTGTTTTCCGTTGGTCTTAATGGGTCTATCACGATTGGACATATTTAATTTGTTTTTCCCAGGGGGCTTAAGCAAATGGAAGTAACGTAGGAAGACTCCAGCCACTTTGACTCGACTCCTTTTCGAAAAAGATTCAGGTACCGCGAGGCCGAGCTCGCTCACGGCCGCGTGTGCATGCTCGCGGCTCCGGCCTCAAACCGCTGAAAAGCTGCCTGGTTGCTACTTTTATTGGCACACGTGGACCCGGCCCCCAACACAAGGTACCCCTTACACCCATTGGCCCGATACCCCTACTTTTGTTTCGGGTATCATGTGAACCCTCTACTCAAAAAGGAGGTATTGCCTTTTTTCCACTCCGGAAAACCACCAAGCCACCAACTAGAGGGAAGCTCATACAAGAGGTATACTAAAGGAAGGTGAAGTTCAAATTGGTGGTTTAAGCAAGGTTTCAATCAGATTAAAGATTGAACTAGAGTTGTTTGGACTTTTTTTATTGGGGGAAAGACCATCTGAGTCTTACTTAACCGAAAGCAATCATCGTTTTAACCTTCTAGTTTCCCTGTTTTGTTCCGTATTTGGTCATGGTTCAACGTTGCTTTCTGGGTCCATTGGGCAGCCGAGTTGAACAAGACCCGGTCCTACAAATCTGAATTAAAGGGAGGTGGTTCAAAGGTTAAACCATCTGGGTGAATTATAACGGCCTCACACGACCTCGACCCAAATGGTGGTTTATTAAATTTATGTGGGGGAGATATTCCCAACCAAAAAAATAAGGTTGGTGAAATATGAAATATTTCACCCAGAACAATAGGCGTTCGAACGCTCTTTTTTTTAATACGAGGGGTGGCCTATCCATGTGGGAGGGGCCTATCCACTTCAAGCCTGAGGGGCTTCACTTCCCCCGCCGACCGCCGAGTTGATCAAGCTGGGTTCACTTCCCCAGAATTTAGCTCTTTTTTTTGTCTTTTTGCTTTTTTGGGGTCCCCTTTGTTTTCCACCTTTTCCAGGCGAAGCATATATATATATATACATATTTGTTTTTTTTGCTGGGGCCCGAATTCCAGCCTAGTTCAGTGGATGCTTCGGAGGTTGAAGAGCCACGGAGCCTGGCTTGCTGTCCGATTAGGTCCGAGGCTATTCGGTCGGGTGGTCTATAGGCTCAGTTGTCCAAGGCGAATCGACCGGCTCTGACCTTTTGGTTTTCCCATTTTGGGTTCCCATTTTTGGAGGTGCCAGAAGGTGATCGCCTTTTAGTTCTGGTTTTTTTTTAAGGGGCAACTAAGTAGGGTTTCCTGAACCACTTCCTTGGAACCCACTAGTCTAATTGCAACTTTTGAAGGGGAAAGTCCATGCTGAAACCTCACCGTTGGGATCGAGTTTTAGGTCGTGTCAACTGGGTTGTTCTAGGCAACACGCCGCAACCTGAGACCGCAACCTGAGAGGAGGGTAGTGGGAGGGCGCGGCGCCCAAAAAACAGAGAGTATTCCATCCGCCTTTCATTTCTGCTTGCACATGGACGGGTGCCGTTTGTGCCGATGATTCCCTCGATTGGGCTTCAGCTGAAGAACTTCAGCAAAGTGCCGGTGAGATGGGAGGGTCCTCACAAAGTGCGGTTCTTCCTGAGTTCATGAACTTTAAACTTTTTGGGAAGACCAGTTTAGTGGTAAATATAGAGTTTGAGCTTTTTTGGGCCATCCACTCAGCAAGTGAGATGAAGGATCTTTTCTTGCATGGCGGTGTCCAACGGTTTTCAACCCTCAATGGTGAGGATTCCTCATATCTACCTGGCAGGGTCAGATAGCTGGGAGGGGCCTCAGGTAGGGCTGTATCGTGTCCAACGGTTTCAAACCTCAAATGTACCATTTGTTTCTCCCCCTGGCTCGTGTTACGCGCTTGCGCCCAGAAACAAACCTTCCTCCGCCATGAAGGTGGATGTTCACTTGCCCAATGGAGATGGTTGCTACATAGAGGTCTCACCAGCGTTGCCCGTTAGCGAGTTGAAGGCTGCAGCACAGCATCATTTCCAGCGCCGCTTGAAGCTCAGTGCGAAAGGCCGGCAGCTTGATTTGACGGCCACTCTGAGCGCGACCGGGTTACAGTGTGGGGACGTGGTGACTGCGGTTGTGCAGTGAGGCAGTCTGACAGCCAGTTGGAAGGCGTTTGCTTTGCATGGCCACGGAGATGACGTCGTGACCTGGGGTAATCCGAAAGAAAGCGGAGACAGCAGCCATGTGCAAGAGCAGCTAAGGGACGTCCAGCAAATCCAAGCAAATGCTTCTGGTGCTTTTGCTGCCATTCTTGAGTCTGGGGCTGTTGTGACCTGGGGTTATCCAACAGCTGACGGAGACTGTAGCCGGGTGCAAGAGCAGCTGAGGAACGTCCAGCACATCCAAGCAACTGCCGGTGCTTTTGCTGCCATTCTTGAATCTGAGTCCGTTGTGACCTGGGGTCATCCAGAACAGCAGCCAAGTGCAAGAGCAGCTGAGGAAGGTCCAGCACATCCAAGCAACTCGAAATCCGTTTGCCGGTGCCTTCGCTGCCATTCTTGAATCTGGGGCTGTTGTGACCTGGGGTGATTCTGATTTTGGTGAATTTGGTGGAGACAGCAGCCGGGTGCAAGAGCAGCTGAGGAACGTCCAGCAAATCCAAGCAAATGCTTCTGGTGCTTTTGCTGCCATTCTTGAGTCTGGGGCTGTTGTGACCTGGGGTGATCCAGAATTCGGCGGAGACAGCAGCCAGGTGCAAGAGCAGCTGAGGAACGTCCAGCACATCCAAGCAACTGCCGGTGCTTTTGCTGCCATTCTTGAATCTGGGTCCGTTGTGACCTGGGGCCATCCAGCACACGGCGGAGACAGCGGCCAAGTGCAAGAGCAGCTGAGGAAGGTCCAGCACATCCAAGCAACTCGAAATCCGTCTGCCAGTGCTTTCGCTGCCATTCTTGAATCTGGGGCTGTTGTAACCTGGGGGCGAGCAGAATCAGGCGGAGACAGCAGCCACGTGCAAGAGCGGCTGAGGAACGTGCAGCGTATCCAAGCAACTCAGGGTGCTTTTGCGGCCATACTTCAATCTGGGGCTGTTGTGACCTGGGGTTCTGCAGAATCTGGCGGAGACAGCAGCCGGGTGCAAGAGCAGCTGAGGAACGTCCAGCAAATCCAAGCAAACGCTGCTGGTGCTTTTGCTGCCATACTTCAATCTGGGGCTGTTGTGACCTGGGGTTCTGCAGAATATGGCGGTGACAGCAGCCAGGTGCAAGAACAACTGAGCTTGTAGTTGTTGTGCAGTTGTAACTCGGGCGGCGCAAATCTGGGACGCCACAAGCGCGCTGAAAGAAGGGAACAGCAGGTGCACTCTGTTGGATTGCTCAGAGCTGTCACTTCCTGAGTTTATGGGCTTTATTTTTGGAAAGACCCTTTGAGTCTCACCCCAAGACGACTCCACCAGACCTAACCTTTGGGTTTCCCGGATTTTTTTCCCACCAGAGGAAGCTCTCAAAACAGTTGATAAACCCAAGGAAGCCACCTGGAGGAGTTGGTCAGTGATCACACCACGGATTTTTTTGGGTGGATCACGCCAAGGGAATTTGCTTAAGACGATGGGAATCTTCTCTTGGTTTCAAAGGGAATCGATCTCACTACCGGACATCTTTTTTTTTTTTCTTTTTCGGGGGGGGGGGGGAAGAAGCAACTGCACATGAACATTTGCTTCCGTTCGAACCTTTTGGTTTTCTTTACCAAACATGGGCCACCAAGTCGCAAAGACGGAAAGGCGCCCCCGAGCCCTCCTCCATTTCTTGGCGGTGCCATCCGGTTCCAGCGGTTTCTAGGCGTTCACTCGTCGAGTGGCAGTGTCCACAGCTCTAAAAGCGCATCAAAACAAGGGAAACAAAGACAAACCTGGAGTCTCCATGACCCGAAATAAAAATGGGTCCATGACCCTATTTTTTGGGGGAATGACCAACCATTTTTTAAGGGTCATGGAGACTCCAGGAAGAAGTAGCTGAACCCTCAAACATCCCTCCAAAATCCAGTAAAGCCCCAAAATCTATAGTTAAGGCGAAACCAAAAAGAAAAGGCAAACACCATATATATATATATATGTATATATGTATATTTATTATTTATTTGGGTGGGGTAGTATTCCCCTTTGTTTTGTTGGCTTAGGGGGGTAGTTTTTGATCAGCCCAGGCCAGGCACCGGCTTCGGATTCCTTCGCGCCCCGAGGTGCTGGGCTACACGGTGCAGACCTCCGGCGCCAAGCCCGGGGCTCCAAAGCCTCCGGGCAGTCGGGTCGCCGGGTCGCCGGGTCTCCGGGTCTCCGGGCGGAAAGGGTTTTCATGAAAAAACAACTAAAAAGGCGACGCATCAAAAGAAGAGGGACAAACACCGAGTGGTTTTCCATGTTCAGGCCCCTTTTTTTCGAGGGGTTCTGTTGGTTTTCCGGATTTTCCTTTCAACCAACCCCCAAGCGAGTCCCGTCCAAAACAGAGAACCCGTCGTGCTTCCAAAAATGTGGAAGGGTCAAGCACCGCGCCCATGGACATTGGGGGTTTCCTTCACGTGCAAACTACAATGACCCCGGTCAAAAACAAGCTTCCATTTGGTGAAGCTTTTTTTTCCCTGGTTTTAAAGGGACTACATTTCACTGCTGGAGATATTTAATTTGCTGAGATGAATATTTAGCTGCTCAAAAACCCGGAATTCCACAATGGGTTGCCCTGTGGAAACGCGGACCAAAACCGGTTTGCCCCTCCGATCGTTTCATTTTGAGCCACAGCCGTTTGTGATTTTCAAAACTGGTGTTAAAGGGAATTGAATTCACTGCTTGAGATATTTTATCATTTTCTCCACGGGACGAAAACGCAAATGGAGGAACCCGGACTTGAGTCACTTTATCAGATTGGACCATTCGAATGTGACAGAAAACGTTCCGCCTGTGGTTGGATCCACTCAGAAAATGAGAAGCTTCGGGTAAGCACTATGCACTGTCCACTCATATCTCTGGGGGTACCCTGAGAACCATAAATCTGAGGGTTTTGGTATTCCACCATGGGATTACAACCTCGGGACATGACCCAGAATGGTTCAAAATAACACGGTTGCATCCGGAAATGTGCCTAACTGGGTCAACCCCCGTGGGTGTATTCCCAGGGTGTAGTACAAAAACCCTTAGAATAAACCATCCAACCTTTTGTTTCCTTTCAGGGAACCCCCATCACCGACCCCTATAAACCATGGCATGTTTATGGTTTCCTTTGAAGGAGTTCCCCAAATCACCGGGTTCATTTATTCCCATCAACCCCTATAAACCATCGTTTATGGTTTCCTTTGAAGGAATCCCCCAAATCACCGGGTTCATTTATTCATTCATTCAACCCCCGGATCTCGTTGAGAAAGTCATGTGCTATCGCACCATATCTTTACTTCCATTTGCTGAAATGAATGTTTGTATATGTTACCCTGGCTTTAAAGGGAATCGATTTCACTATATACTGGACATACTGTGGATGGACGAAGTCCTGCACCACCTCAGAAACCCTGGAATGATGATTCCCTCGTAAATACCAATAAACAATGGTTTCCCATGGTTTCCAAGTGGTGCGACATGCAACCATCCGGAGTATTTTCTCAACCATTTTCGTCATTACCCAAAATCAAGGAGTCATGACCTCACCAAAAAAAAAGAACTCCAGGTGGACGTCTCGACCATTTTTTTCGGAGGTGGGAGCCCTTCATCACCCGCTACCCCACGGACTCCGCGGACCCTCTGAAGGCCGCCACCCAGGCGAGTCGCGAGTCACGCCGAATCCGCAGATCCGAATCCGCGGCCTGAAATCTAGGGAACGGCCTGGATGCGTTTTTTGTGGAAAACATCCCTGTAGGATGTTAAAAGAGTAGTAAAAGAGTACGAAAAAAGAAGCTACAGGGGGAAGGACGGGTGAAATCCACAAAAAGCGCGTCCAAACCGTTTTTAGATGTGAAAGGGACGAGAAGAGTGGTTCGGACCACGGAGCCCAGGTTTCCGATTTCCCCCCCCCCCCCCGCCCAAAACAAACAAAAAACTGGACAGGGCTCCTTAAAAGAATTTCATTTTGCAACCATTTGACACATGTGGCCTTTTCAACGCTAAAATAAAGTTGGAAACCACCATTTACAAGTTGCAATGCTCAGGTGTTTTTCATGTAAGGATCCCTGCTGGAGTCTCCTTCTGACCCGAAATAAAAATGGGTCCATGACCAACCATGATTTTGGGTAGTCTGACCAACCGTTTTTTATTTGGTCACGGAGACTTCAGGAAGATCTTCTCGGAGTAGGAGCCTCAGTTTATGGGTTAAGCGACTTCCGAAATGATGCAAACAAAACATCTGTTTTTTTCCTGGAGTCTCCATGACCCTTTAAAAATTGGTCCATGACCCCATTATTTTGGGTAATGACCCCCTTTTGAAAGGGTCATGGAGACTCCAACCGGTTTTTAGTTGGTTTGCGGGTGGAATCGGGCAAACCAAGCTGCGCTCGGAGATTCAGAGAGCCTGGCGAGTATCCGCAGACTTTAGGGTGGTTGCCAGATTGACATCCTGGGTGTCTTCCATTTGTTTCAGAATACTTGTTGATGGTCCTGTTGATTTTAGAGGGCAAAGATTTCCTGCAGCGACGCGCGCTTCAAAGCCCGGCTTTGGCCGTGCGTGGTTGTCGCCCTAATCAACGGTGAGCAAGGCGTTCAGTTGCTGGCCATTGGCAATGTCCCTTTGATCCTCCAACAGTGGCGATCGTTTCAATGGAAACCACCAGCAAAATCACAACTTGGGGAATGCAGTGAGCCCTGTAAGAGTGTCCCTTCCTTTTTGGCCATTAGGGTGTTGCTTTTCGAGGGTACCTGGGGTCTCCATGACCCTTTAAAAATGGGGTCATGACCCCTTTTTTTGGGTAATGACCAACCATTTTTAAAGGGTCCTTAGGCAGACTCCAGGTACTTTTTCTTTTTTCTCCGGTTTTTCAAGGAACAAAACCACCAGCTTTGGGGGGCCCCTACAAAAAAGCACACCCATTCACTTCACCAGAATTAGCTCCCCTTTTTGTTTTTTTTTGCTTTTTTTGGGCTTCCTTTGTTTTCCACTAGCCAGGCAAAAAATATGTTTTTTTGCTGGGGTCCTAATTCCAGCCAAGTTCAGAGTGCAACGCGTCGCGTTGCAGTTGCAACGCGTGATAGGTGCCCATCATCGGGTGGCTGCAGATCATCACCGTCATCGCTCTGTCGGAGCTGTGGCGGTATGAGAGCCTCGGCCGTGGAAAGAACACATGCGTTTCGGGCTTTTTGTTCCTCCCTGCCTGAACCCCTAAACCCTAAACCTGTTCAACCAACCCCAAACTGGCCTCGAAGAAACTCTTCCGGCCCGCGGAACTCGATCTCCTAGTAACCTACGACAAGTTACTTAATGTAACTGCCTGGAGTCTCCTTCTGACCCGTCATAAAAATGGGTCCATGACCCCAAATATTTTTTATTTCGGGTCAGAAGGAGACTCCAGGTAGTTTATATTTCGACTTTAGTTCAGCTGGGAGCATTTGGGTGGCTCGTCTTTGAATACCCCCAAAACCTGGTGGTTGTCAAGGGACAGGAAACACGAAATCGGGTTTTGGAATGTTGGGAGTACCAGGATAATGTTGACCCAGGATTCGTCCCATTAGGGGGCTGTTCCCTCCAGAAGTGGTCTGAATCCCCACGAATTTGGGACACCCCTATTAATCAACCAGGGGTTTATTAATCCGGGGTTAACATTACCCTTAAACAATAGTGGACCCCTGCCGTCTTAATCCCAGGGCCATCTTGGAGTCAAGAGACATCTGTTTTTTTTCCTTTCTTTTTCCTTTTTTTTTCTCTGGACAAAAAGACGCGATGGAACATGAGCGCCCCGACTGATCCGCCCTAGGGACCGAAACAGAATGATTTGAGGCTTTCGTTTGGGGCTCCAAAGAATTTCATTTTGGCCATTTGAAACATGCTGCTTTTTCAACACCAACATAAAGTTGAAAACCACCATTTACAAGGCAGGCAATGTTCGATCGGTGTTTTTCATGTCAGGATCCCTGTTTGGGGGTTCGAGTTGTTTTTTTTGTTTCTGGGGGCTCCTAGGCAGCAGAGGGACCCGAAGAATATGAGGTTCAAGAGGAGCTTTCAATCGGGGGCCTCAAAGAATGAAATCGGTCCTCTCGGGGCTCCTAGGATTTAGTTTAGGGAGAATTGGCTCAGTTGTTCAGTGGCACCAATTGTTTTTCTATTTTTTTGGGTGGCTGCCAAAAACCAAAAAGGGTCCAAGCCCCAAAACGGGTTGCCTCTTTCTTTTTTTCCAGGGTCACTGAACAACTGAGATTTTGGTTCTATATAGACTCTCAGGGTTTGGTGAGGTGGTGTACCCCTCACCCAGGTTCAGATAAGGAACTTGTGGTAATTCATGAAAAGGCTAGTTGTGAAGTGTTTATGGCCAAGAAGTCGTTTCGTCCAGAACTGTTTATGAGCTTAAGTGCTTGTTTCCACAATCAGATATTTCTTAAGTGCTTGTGAACAACTGAGTTCGACTTCCAGTTCCATTTCATCCGATCCACCAACTCGAAGTATTGACTGATCCGTTTGCAGATTAGGCCAAGGGAACTGGTTGATAAAGCCAAAAGGAAAATGGGAAGGGGGTGACCTCGAAGACTTCCCCAGAATTAGCTCCCTCTTTCCCTTTGTTTTCCACTATCCAAGCAAAACATATATTTTTGCTGGGGTCCTAATTCCAGCCTAGGAAAAGTGGTACCTGGAGTCTCCCTAAGGACCCTGTAAAAAGGGTTGGTCAGACTACCCAAAATCATGGTTGGTCATGGAGCCATTTTTATTTCGGGTCATGGAGACTCCAGGTAACTGGGATCTCACCCTACCCTCCTCTCTAACATGGAATCTACCAGAGGGTCCATTTCAAAGGATGACGGTCCAAACCAGCACCCCGAAATGTTACTAAGCATTGTAGTGAAGCCCAGTGAAGATTCGCCCCTAGAGGCGCCTAGATCATGGGCAAAGTACCTGCCCACGCCTGAGGAACGTCATCAGCAAGTATGGTGCTTGGGCCTCGGTTTTGATATTGAGTTGGGTGTCTAAGCGGGTTCGAACGCCTGATTCCGATCGGTCTCTTGAATCATTTGTTTCACTGGGTTTTTGTTTAAGGTTTGCTAAAGAAGAGCACAGCAACGAACAACCTGCGATTGTTGGGTCAAAGACAGTCTCATTTGTTGAAATGAACAATCCTGTTTCGACTGCCCCTCTCTGCTAAGAAGCACGTACGGTGCAGCGGTGTTGTTTAAAGTTTAGAGGCTTCCCTGGGTTTGCAAGGGAGACACAGACAGACACCTACTGTGGATGGACAAATTCCTGCACCACCTCAGAAACCCTGGAATGATAATTCCCCTGTAAATTCCAACAAACAATGATTTCCCATAGTTTCTCAGGTGGTGCGAAATGGATTTTGTCCATCCACAATATGTTGGGTTCCCTGACTCTTTTAAAGCTATAAACTCGCCACTGACCTTGGCTCAGTGGCGGAATTCGCGCGATTTCCTGGAGTCCTCCTTAAGCCCACAATAAGCCCTTGTTAAGCCCTTATTAAGGCCTTATTTAGGGCTGATTTGGGCTCCCTCCCCCCTCCCCTCCCTCCAGCCCCCATGACGGCTGGTCACCTACCCAAGTTCTTTGGGGTCACCCGCGTTCTCGCGGGGTCCGTCACCTCATGCCCGGCCTGCTCTAGGGGATGATTTGTCGACCCCCTACTAAAAAAGGAGGGAAATTTACCCAGGTCTTTCCAACCGGGTATTTGGAGGTTACGGGGGTATGATAGAGACTAAGGACCCAGAGCTACGTGCCATGTTTCCCAAGGCTTCTTTGGGGGCAAGCGGGAGTCGTGGCTGGAAACCCCCCAACTGAGAAAGCAATTTCAGATGAACCGATACGCCCTTTTTTTGCGGTTTCCTTTTTCTCGGTTTGCGGGGTCCAGCAATAGCTGTGGGCCGCCCTGTTGGTTTAGACGACTTTTTGGCTTGGAAGTTTAACCTTTGACTTGTTGGCTTGTTGGTGTTTTCCAGCACCAGAACTCAGGTGCTGACTTACCCACCTGGAAGTTGATCTTCCTTTCCGTGAAAGGCCCCCAGCTTTGCTCATGGGTATTTGTTTACATGTGGGGGTTGAAATATTAGCTACCCCAACTTTGGTGGTTTGGATTCGAACTTGAACCTCTGGTTCTTGTAGAGAGCAAACGGGGTTCCCACCCCCACACCCCACCAAGCCACCAATTCGAGGGAAGCTGAAAATCATTGTATCAAAAAAACATGTAAAGAGGGCCCCCGCAAAGAATACTGGTGGTGTTCCTTGTGGCTTCCCTTTAAAACCACCAATGCAAGAGAGGTACCACAAAAGGACAGACTGACGGTTTGCTCTAGTTTGGTGATTTTGGTTTGGCATGGCTTGTGTTCTGATTGTTTGTGTTGCGTTTGCTTGTGTTGTTTTGGTGCCACATTCCCCCGAACAAGAATCAGAAGAAGTGACTTTCCTTTTGGCTTCCCTCTCAACCACCCACAGCGGGGCAAAACAAAAGCAGAGACGTGCCCTTTTGGCACCACCTTTGGGTATTTACGTTCCTGTCATCGGTCATCAGTACCCAGGGCATAATCTCAACGGTGCGATTTGCGGACTTCGCGTCACCATCCGCAGTATCGTTCTTGTTTTCTTAGGCGACCAAGTGCTCCAAACCTTGGTGGCTCCCGAAGGCCATCTTGTTCAACTTAGCTTCTTAGATCCTTTTAGCGTTAAGATTCGGCAGTTTCCGAATTTAACCCACCAAAAGTGAGGCAAACTTTTCGCGGATCCAACGAAAACGGGCCCGGTTCAATTGGCGGCATTGAGGGAATCAGCTTCCGGTTCCTTCCCTTCAGCCCCGCTTCCTGCGCAGAAAAACGTCCGCGGCGTAGCGAGCGAAAGCTGAGGAGGGCGTGCAGCCTGGGGATCTGGGCCGGAACGCCGGAACAAATCGATCGCCGAAAAAAAGATCCTTGATCCGTGGGGTTTGGACCCCTGGCTCAGTTGTTCAGTGGCACAAATGACTATTCCTTTTTTTTGGGGTGGCTGCAAAAACCAAAAAATGGTCCAAGCCCCAAAAAGGGTTCCAATTCTTCTTTTTTTCCAGGGTTATATACTGAACAACTGAGCTGGGTGTCTACCCCCCCAAAAAATAGCCGACACGTACCTGGACCCTCAGAAGAACCTGAAAAATGGGCTTCTTCCCCATGGTTCTCGCGGGTTTCTAGCTGCAGTGACCCCTGGGGTTCTGCCGCGGGGTTCTAGCTTTTTGGTTGGTTTCAACGGTTGAAACCAAGAGGAACACCACCAAAAATTGTGTTTCTTTGTAGGGAGGTGAGGTGCTTGCAAAGAGGAGAACACGTAACACCATGGTTTGTTTTTGGGGGGGAGGGGTTCCTACCTGGAGTCTCCTTCTGACCCTTTAAACATGGGGTCATTACCCAAAATTAAGGGGTACCCCTACCTGGACCCTCAAAATAGCCTTAAAAATGGGGTTCTTCCGCGTGGGGGCAGTATCCCCCGTGTCTCAGGGGCTTTGAGGGTGCAGGTAGCGTTGAAACTGAGTTTCCCAGGTTCGACTAGAAGAGTTTGGGACAAAAACATTTATCTCCCGATGTGAACCTGGTTTGGAAAGCGCGAAATAAATTTCCGTCAGACTGACTGTGGTGTATTGTGTGTGGTTTTTTTGTTGGGGTCTTCTCCAAGAATGTCAAGTATATTTTGGGGTAGACCATGGAACAGAATCAGAACATATGTTTTTGGAGTTTCCCGGATGGCCAAAATGTGAGGTGCGTCTGGGACTTTGCAGCAGCAAAGTGGCGAAATAACCCCGAAGAAGGGCGCTGTAGAACAGAAAAAGGCTACCTGGGGGTTGGGTTGAACCAAGTTTCTCTAAAAATGATTGCCAAGATGGAGAATTGAAAGGTCCATTAAGCTGGTTTTGCTTTTTTCTTGGAACGCTGCAGGATCTTGAACCTTCCCATCCACTGTCCAACTCTGCCAAACTGCAGGCCCCCGGAAGTTGCAAAACAGCTGTTGCTGAGCGAATGATCCAAATCCGAACTCAGACCTGGAGTCCCCACCCTCAAAAAATGGTTGGTCATTCTCCAACAGAATGGTTGGTCATGGACCCAACTTGCAAGGGTGCTTAGGGAGACTCCAGGTATAGATTCAACTCAGACCTGCCAACAAGACATCTTTGGTCGCGTCCACTAGGAGCATGCCGTTTCGTGGATGGCTCCCATGACTCCAGATGAGTCTTACTAGGAACCTCTTCAACAGGGCTGCTTAAAAGAAAATAATGTTGCAACCATTTGGGTATGGGTCAAAAT